TCATCCCCTATGGATCAATTTATGTACACATAGATTAATCCATAATTAATATAGTTAAAAATTTTAGTGGCATAGTGTTCTAGCACCACGGATACTGGATGGTATTATTTAAGAGAGAGACGTGAGATGGAGAGGGCGGGTTCTTAAAAATTCTTAGACGTGCTTTGGACTGAGCAATATTTGAAAAACTAACTAAACAAAACTCGCATTTTTGTTGAGTAATGTTATTCATCACCAGTGGGGATGAAAACACAGTCTATGTGGCGTTAATGTGACGTTAATGTGGCATTAAATGATAGGTGAAATTAAATGACTCATTTAATTTCACCTTTCATTTAACCTATCATTTAAATTCATGTAAACTGTGTTTCCATTTCCAGTGGGATGAATAGCATTACTCATTTTTGTTTTATTTAGGGCCCTTCGTTATCCTAGCCACTTTAAAATTCGAAATAAAACTCTGATCCGACTAAAAGTCTGATCGTCTGAAGACTCTGTATGCGATTGTTTAATAAAAGGTAACACAGATATGTCGTGAATTTTAAAGTAACAAAGATCATTTTTCGTATTGGCCTTCAAAGAATCCTTGCGAAAATATTAGCATCTGACTTGCATAAATACTGATGCGGATCCTAATTTGAACAAGAAGTTACTCGTATAAATAAGAGAAAATAATAGAGAAAATTCTATGTTATTAACAAGATCTAAGACTTATTGAAGGAAAAATCAATACTATGAGACTCCCCATTTGTTTCTGACATATGATGAGGTTGTCTCCACTCCTCCCGGCCACGAATGGAAGCCTCGAGTTCTGAAATCTCTGTTTCGGAAATATAAGAAGTCGGAGAATTGGGAATACTTTCGCTATCTGGTGCGTTTGATCTGTACTTGTGGTTGTGGAGCAAATGAATGGGTGAAAATCCCGGGCTTGGAGTTGCTTCGCCACTCATGAATCCTGCTCCATGAGAAGAAGCATCGTCGTTTCCTTTGCCTGATTCGCGCATCTTCTTCTTCTTTTTTGCAGCCTGATGCCATTTCTTGAGAGCTTTGGCCGTCTGCTCCTCGAAGATTGTTTTCTTCATATGCGATCCCATCTGAACACGGACATGTTTAGTACGCAGTCGAGGAAGGATTTAAAATTATAATACATTTTTTTCACTCTATTCGACTCATTATTTTAAAAGAGAGAATTCTGACCTGCGTTACGAGGGAATAAAGTGGGAATGTAATGTAGCTGCACAGAATTTGAAGGGCTACCCCTAAGGAAACTCTAATCAAAACTGCATAGAGTTCCTCATGGAAACATTTTGTGATTCCAAACTCATACTGCATAAGGATTATGAGTTATTCCTCAATCACCAAAATAGAGAAAAAAAAATGTAAATTTATTTGAGATTTACTTACCCATTTCCACAAGAAATATGCCATTTGGAATGCATTCTGCAGGTGAAGAGATTGATTGTGCATTAGGGAAAAAAATGAAATAAAATAAAATAAATTCAATAAACATCGTAGCATATATTGGATGTGTTATTACCATAAATAGGGTGAAATGTATGAGGAAGAGAATCCACTGTGGTCGGTTGAACCAAAAGAAGTTGTTAGTGGGCTCCACTAATGGAGCCCCTCTAACCACAGTCGTCCGATCTTGAATTTGTTGAGCCATCTCCATTATCACAAGCTCCAATTTTGTATCAACTAATACGATTATCTGATCACAAAATTTCATTTAAGATTTACTTTGGTGCATCTCTAACCCATACGAAGACTAAGGGTCCGTTTGGTATTGCTTTTGAGAAGTCGAAATGAGCTTTTGAGACAAAAGTTGCTTTTGGACCCCGTTTGACTAGGTTTAAAATATATATATATATATATATATATTAGTTATAAGAGCTATTAGACGAAATTGGTTCAATGTAGTTTCCTCTAAAAACACTTTCAAAATAAACATTTCATTTAGAAATTAGTTTCTGAAAAAAAAAAAAATTAAGATAGAAGTTCTTCCATAGGAAACAAAAGCAAAAGCAGAAACAAAAGTCATGTCAAGCGGATTCTGAGTTGATTTTCAATTTTTAAAACAAGAAAGTTTAACCATTCAAATTTTCATTGAACTGTCACGTAGTCAATTCGATTATTGCGTGTTGAAGTTAAAAAATAAGACTACCTTGGTTGGAAAGCAAAACCTTAGCTTCATAGAAATTGTATATTGGACGGTCACGTGACAATTCAACATAAAAATAAATAATTTTATAACTATAATGAAAGATTGACGATCAACTTGCTCATTTTTAAAGGTCGAGATGGTTATTACATTTTTCTTCCCCTTTCCTTCGCTTGTACAAATATCAATTTTAAATAATGTAAATAGAGAAGGTTAGTACTTACAATCAGAGGAATCAATGAGAGCCAGGTGAGTGTATGCCATTCTGCACCATTAGTCATACAAAGTTTGATCGATGAGATTTAGAGAGACAAAGATTTCGATTAAAAAAAAAATACTACAAGTGCATGCCGGTATACTATAGTGGATGGAAAAGTGGATTTCATTAAATAAGGAAAAGTTAAAATCATGTTCACAATATTGAGTAGACTTGAGCGCGGTTTGATTTGGGTCAGTTTCGACTCCAACCCGAAACAAAAACCAAGTTAGTTTCAAATCATTTCACTTAACTCTTAAACCGAACCGACTCATACCAAATCGGTTTGGTTTGATTCGGTTCAATTAGTCGGTTTGAACTTTTAGTTCAAATTGAATTTTAAAAAATAAAAAAAAAAATTGTCTGGATTTTGGACCCACTTAGATGACAAGAACTTTATATTACAATAACTATTGATTAACAAATAAAATCAAGTTAATAAAGACAGATAAATAGAAAACTTAAGAATTTTGTTACTTTTTTATGCATATGTAGTCTGACTACTTGAGTAGGGGAAAAATGTCAAGTATAACATAATGAACTTGTGAAAGAAAATTCTCAATCTATTACATATTGACAACATCATCGATTGGAAATTATGATATTAGGGCTTATCTTTTGATTTTTATTTTTCTTAAAAAAAAAAAAAAAAGGCAAACATGTAAGTGGGTTGGGTTGGTTTGGTTAACGAGTGGTTTGTGGTTTCAAACCATGGCTGAACCGATCTACTATGATTTTGTTAAAAAAAAAAAAACAATCAAACCAAACCAATTACATATATCAAACGACTCGAACCAGCCCAAGTCGATTCAAATTGATTGGTTTGGTCGGTTTTTCGATTTTTTTTGCTCAAGCCTAATATTGAGTAGTTATGTTCAATACGTTTTACAAAACATGCAATTAGAGAGACAAGGGAGAAAAACGTACTGTAAAAGTTGAAGAACAAAAACGTAACAGCAAACAACCATAACGGAGCACTGCATAGTCCAAACAAAAGAAGTATGTTGGGGGTATATAGAGATACAATATTGAAAGTATAGTGACTATAATAAATAAATAAATAACTAAAGTCGATTGACAGTTGGAAAATAATTAAGAAAGTTAAATGACCATTAAATTTTTTAAAAGTTTGGTGTGTTAGTATTCGAACATTCATGTGCACATATTGAAAATTTTCAAAGTTCATTGAGTTAGTTAATCGTACTCAATAGTTATTGGAAAATTCAGAGTTTATGCTTGGGATCTTCAACATTATCATAATATAGCATTTGAATTGCGTAGTTTGACTATCAAAATTTTTTAATTTATCGGACATCTCAATTAGGGGTGAAGGAAATGTCCAAACTGATCATTTGCCTCTCAAATATTGTTTCATGTACTCTTAATATGGCCATTGAATTTCCAAACCGATGATTTTCAATGGTCCATCGAAGACCCACGTGCTATAAAATTAAAATTTTGGCCTCAAATGTCAAGAAGAAAAGGTTTAGGACTCAAGTGCTATTTATAGGAGTTTTAATTTTGTTTTCTTAAGTGATGCTTAAATAATAATCTAAAACCTGGTAAATAAAGAATATAAGAAGAAGAAAAGTGGATTGTAAGGCACATACCTTATTCCCAAAACACTTTTGTAGTCATCTTCCATGGATCTCTTTATGTACTTGTGGAAGTCAAATTTGCTATTTGGTGCAAAATGAGCCTTCAATTTGCCACATTATTTAATTTCGATAGGTGAAAAAAGAATTTTTGTTAGTAAGTTTTAAGTTTATTGAGTATAAAACATAATCGAATATAATTTGTTTTATGACAATTTAACTTATTTTAATCTATTATTACCAAGACAAGATTATTGAAATACAATTTCCTATAGTTATAAAAAATCATTTTGATTCTCGTGCCTTCATTTTGATTCTATATTTTGGAAGTCCAAATCCGCTATCCCAACGCTAGAAATTTTTGGTACCTCAGTATAATTTTGAGGTGTCAAAATTTCAGATGTGACGCTTTAGAAACTGTAGTGGCGTTAACGAGTTTTCATACCTCAAAATTGTAGTGAACACAATAGCTAAAGAGATAATATATCTAGACTCGAATTTTGGTTGCATGAAATTTATTGATGTAGTTAAATCAAAGTTATTCCAACATAAATGAATTGTATAAATAAGTGAAAAATTTAAAAGAGGCAACTCACATTGATAAATCCATTGCGAATGGTCATATAATCTACTTTGGATATTGATCCAAGAAATTGTCTGAAAAATGCTACCTATTACATTCAAAATCTATTAATAACAAAATTAAAAGAACAAATTTTGTAATAATAATAAGATATAAACAAAATTAATTAAAAAAAACAAAAAAGAACTTACAATCCATCTAATCCCAGGTGTGTTGTTGATCCCACCGTGTCGCCTCACAAAGGATGTTTGATGAGCAAATCTAAATCTAGCAGGGTCTATTAATAAAATTTGTAAATTGTCTTGACGAATAATTTAGTAACATAATATGCCACTAAAGATCTCGTTTGTGCCCCATTTTGAGTGTATAATGCATTTTGGAATAATAGACTGTTGAATAATGTATAGTTAAAAAATAAGAAAACATTCTGGGTTTACGTGTAATATTATTTCATTGAAAAATGTGTGAATGAAAAGAAAAGAATGTATTTGAAAAAAATAAGGATCAAACAAGGACTTAACCTCAAATATGTAATTATATTATCGGACGAATTTTGATAAAATCATCCTTAATCAATTGCATCTATGAGTTTATATAGATACAAGGCTTGTGTCCCTACTCAATTATTTAAAGCATAGAAATCCTAACTTCATATAAATAATCAAAGTCTTCGTAGAAATTAATAGAAAAAATATATATATGTTGCAAGTGGCTTGGGAGCTAGCTCGTGCTCGACAAGTCCCATTTACGAGCACAAGCTAGCTCACCATGTGGATTGAGTCAAACACGACTTTGGTCGAGTTGAACAACTCGGATTGGTCCACTTACCATCCTTAATTTGAATGTTGTAATAATTCTTTTCATAATTAATTATAATTCTCGCATTGTTAAGATGGGAGAAAATAGAAGAAGAATTACCATTTGTGAATTCATATTCCAAGGAGGTTGTTTCCAATTCCCATGCCTTCCACTTCTTCATCTATAACAATCAATAATATCATAATAAATATTTTAACAAAAAAAAATCTTAATTTTTTTCTTTGGCTATTAAATTCGAAAATAATAATGTTAATGAACTTACTTTGGCATAGCCCAAACTCATGAGAATGACACTGTATAGAACATGCATAACTGCCAGAACAAATATAAAAATATGCAGTTGGTGCACTCCTGAGTATGATATTAACGATACCTTCCCCTGTTTACAATGAAATTAAAAAAAATTAAATAATAATTTAATATAATATTACCGTAAAAAAATTGATTTAATTTTTAATATAGTGGTACTGCCCAATTTTAAAAGTAAATAAAGTTATTAGGAAAAAAACCTTATGTATTTAAATTTTATTAAAAAATAATCCGTCACCTTACTGGCACAGGTATCGGTTTCATCCGTTCCTGCTGCCAAAGCTCGACGCCAAACAATTTCTCCAGCATAAGACAATAATTTTCGATGCCCATCTTTTCCTTCACTATCTTCATCGCCGTCATCGTCACCATCTCCCTTGTCCTTTTTATCACATGGATGCCATTGATCTCCAATATGTTTAGGCACACATATTTTGGCAATATAGGTTGTACCAAATGTCAAAAGTAAAGATATGAACCCTAGCAGCATCAGTTCTGAAAAATAAAAATTAAGAATTAAAATTTTTTTATGGAGATTCATAAATATTCGTAGTATGTAAAAGAAAACAATCTTAGTATTTGACCTGCTTTGATTTTTTCCAATGCCTCGATCATGGCCTTGTTATCACGTTTCTGAAACCACTGCAATCACATGTAGAAATAAAATTAAGAGAAACATTTGTCTAGAAAAAACATTTAAGTTGTGGATCCTATAAACTACGTTGTCAAGATTAATTGTTGACTTTAGATGTTAATCCCTACCAACATAGGCCTAATAATCCCAACCCGACAATCAAAGAGAAGAAGAAATATACCTTTGCAAGGGAGTGGATTCCATGTTCTATAATGACAGAAATGATAACAAAAACTGCACAAACAATGGCCACAGCCCATGTGGGAGTTTCTTCCAGAGATCTATCTCCTGCACCTGGAGCCATGAATTCAATTCAATTCATCAAACTTTTCTCCCAAGAATGCTCAAATTAATGGAAAGAATGCCAAATTATTGACAAATCAGAGGCCAACCCCACACAAAACACAATCAGTATTTACTATGTTATTTTTATGTGGAATTTTGGAAAAAATAAGGACAAAACTTGGTTATGTAGAGAAGAATATTTCAGCCGCGGCCGGCTATCAGTGACAAAATGGAGAATTGAATTCAACGATGGTGGAAATGTTCTTGTCATAATTAATGAATAACTTCATTTCGCTTATAACTGAAATATTGAATTAAGTTTAATTAAGAGTAATACTATTTTGCAGTCATTCACTGCAGTAATTACCATACACATACACCACATTAATGATTCAAATCATCGGCACATGTATATCACATAAGGTGATTACGATTGTGGGCGACTACAAATAACGTTACTCTTTAATTAACTATACTTATTTTCTTGATGTTGACCTAAAGCCTATTTGAACAAGCAAATCTTTGGTTACATTTTATTTCATACATAAATTATTTTAGGTAACAAATTTCGAATTTCATTCACAAGTTACCTTTTTATCACTTTGAAAAAAAAAAGTTATATATATTAAAATTTCCTTATTTATTTATTATATTTTATATGTAATTTTTAGCTTAGCCGAATACGTGGAATTGTCACTTTCAAGAAACGATATTTATAGTTAAAGCTTAATTATCTACTAATAAGTTAAGTCTTTAGCTTAGCGAAACACACACGAAAGAATTATTGACTTTGCGAATTATTTTTTTTCCAGTTTTTCAGAAAGAAACAATAAAATTTTCAATTTTTAAATCCAGAATTTGATGTTTGGGTCAAATAAAAAATAATAAACAAAAAAGTATTCTTATTTATCCATAATATTGTGTTATAGAATGCAGACTGTTGTAATAAATATATGATTAAAATTAATTATTAATTTTGACTGAAATTATTTTAGAGTGTGTTTGATATGGATTTTTGGGGGAAGAATTGATTTTTAAATAGTGACATGATGAGAAATGTGTGGTTGAAAAAGAAGAAAAAATTATTGATGTGATAGAAAATATTATTTTATTGAAGAATGTGTGGTTGAAAATGAGAATTGATTTACTGTTGAATTTGAGAATAAAAAACAAACAGGCCCTTAAAATCTAGTCTTTATATTGATTAAAATTGGAAATAAGTTAGTTATTTTGAGTAAGAGTTGCTTTTTAAATAAGTAATATATATACTACTTAAAAGATGTGGAGTTGCAATAAAGAAGTTATTTAAGTAGATAGTTCTGATGCTCCTCTTGAATTTTGTTTCAGGATAATGATGCTGTCTAGAAAGCTAACACATATGGATGAACAACTTTCATGTGACCCGTTGTACTTAGCAAAGGTGAGTCTCTGAACGCTCCTGCCGAACTTGTTGGTTTTCTCAAATTGTATTGGTAACTAAATTCCTTTTTGGTCTATATATGTCCAGGCTGGAAAAGAGCGACAGAGATTTGACTTTGACGATTTCGACACGGTTCCTTCTTCCAAATTCACCATATGAAATGCATTATGTAAAACACATGCTAGCTAATCTATGAAGGAACTATTTTCTGTATCCCTTTGTTTGGGAAAGGGGGACGAGTATGTGAACTTGTGTTTGGATCAGATCATGAAGAAATTATCAAATCCCGCCTTTTATACAGAAACATGGATAGTTTCTAAAGCTTTAAGGGTGTGTTAGTGCTGGACATGACTAAACATTACACTTGATTTCAACTTGTATTTCTTTCTTAATATTGCTTAATATGCGCTGTTGCATATAAAACCAACTAAGGAGCAACTAAATGAAACGTGAGCTTTGAAGTACCAAGAGCATGTTTGGCTTTGCTTAAAAGCTAAAACAAGCTGCTTTTTTTTTTCCTTTCCAATCTTTGAAGAACAGTCGATATACCATCATGCAAGACTGTCTAGTAGCATTTCCAATTGGTTCTTATTAATCGCAATTCATAATAAATTTTGGCTCCAATAGAATTATCAAATTTTAATTTTTTCACAATTTGGTTATGAATCTATGATTATCCTGTTTATGTAGTTAGTTTGACTAATGTATAGTAAACGTGACAGTATATTTGGCAATAAATAGATTGCTGAGCTGGTATGTAATTAACCCACTACAGTCTAGATTATCAGCATCCCCCCGAAAGCTAATCATAAAGTTTATGATGCCACTTTTCACATTGGGAATGGGTTAGTAAAGGGTAACGTTATTTAATACTATTCAAGTTAAAACATCTAAATTAGGTAGTATTAATGTGACATTAATTGAAATGTATAATTAAATGATTCATTTAATTATACATTTTATTGAGTCTATCACTACACACCACTTGAATTGGTATTATAATATCAGTAATGCTAGATAGCATTATTCTTCAACGGATGTTTGGACATTTGTTCTGGGTTGTCTGGACTCTTGACCAAGTTCTTATTCCTTGCTTGCTATATCTGGTAGACAGATGACGGTAGAAAATGGGAGTTAGCCTCATATGTCCCAATATTGTTTCCATAGATTGATTTAAATACCTTCAATATTTTGATAAATAAAACTTGGAAAAATTGGACCTCCAAGGATTCTAGGCAATATCAAAAAGACAATAAACCTTCTATACAACTTCATCCATAAAGTCAACTAGTATTGCAACAAAGTGGGGCTTACTAAGGTAACTATAACATCGCAAACATGAAAACACAAATGTGCTGGATTCGTCATTACTGTTACGACTCATAAATAGAAGCGTCACGTGGCATCATATTTGGGCAGTGGAACTAGCCTAATTGAAACAAGATGTATTTTCTTAACCTCTGACGTGTTTACCGAGGCCCAGTGCTGTACTGATGCCCATTATCCGAGGCCTAAACCATTATCTGAAGCCCAGGGAACCTACACGGATCAGAGGCTTTCCAGCAGCCGGTGATGACCCACGTGCGGAGATTCGCTCATGATGAAGATCTTTATTTGAATGATTGATGTGACTCTTGTGTAAAGTATGTTTGTATCTTGTTTTGTCAATGTAAAAGTATTTAATATTTTGTAAGGTTAGGAGAGTCAACCGAATGACTAGGACTTGATGTCGGGCCGAGGAGATGAAGCCACGTATAAATTGATCCAAAGGTCACAATTTCGTTTGTAACACTATAAATACCCCCACCATGTAACATGTAAAGGTTAATGCAATTCTAACTACTTGAAACTATATTATTCTCTCATCTATTATCAAATTTCAACTACAAATCTTGTTCTTTATCGATTGGTTTCTTATACAATCGCGTTTCGTTTATCTTGCCAGAAGCTCGAACGGTGACTTCTGGTGTCGTTGAGCTCCTCCCACGTTTAGATTCTAGAGCTATCTTGATTGTCGATCGGCATTAACTTGTTGGATTAAGTTTACGCATACACGAGTGGGCCCGACATATGTTGGCAACATTTTTTGAGGTGTTGGATTAAGCTGTTTAAGAAGATATTTTGGGCATCCCCTCGAAAGAGGATTTGTTCTTGAGAAAAGAGTAAGAGAAAGCCTCCAGAGTTGAAAAATATTCAAGGTTTTAAGCTTGGGAAGAGATGAGTTCAGAAGAGGATGTCCCTCCCAAACGCACAAGGGATACTGATAATGAGGCCTCGACGTCCCGGCGCCGACCTCATCACCACCATAGACGAGGTGGGAGAAGGTTAGCGGCCTAACTTACTAGGGAAATGGCGACTATGGTAGCTAATATAAGGAGCATCACCAACCAAAACCTGGCGATGCAAGAGTTGTTCATGCAGATGCAAGGTCATGGAGGTCGNTTTGTGAAATTAACCCAAATTTTTTTATATGTGATCGAGAGTAATTTGTGACCTATAATATTTTTGATCTGTGACCCAGAAATAATTTATAGCATATAAAATTTTTGAACTGTGACTCAGAAATAATTTGTTCAGTGATCGAGAAATAATTTGTGATCAATTAATTTAATGTTTGTTACCAAATTGTATAGAATTGTAACCTTAATATATTAATAAAATATATTTTTACGTAATTATTTCATAAATAAAAATGTAATTAATTCTGATTTTTGAAATTTTATACTTTGTTTCTAAGTTTTGAAATAGGTAATAATTAATCTCTTACTTATGAAATTTCCCTTAAAATAATTAAAGATATAAATAAAACACAAAATATAAATAAGTTGAAAAAAAAATTTAAAAACATTCATCTTTCCCATCCATTCAACCCCAAGACCCAAGCTACCCTAACCCTACCGAGCCATCGAAATCGCTACCAAATGGGAATTCCAATCACCATTCTCAAATCCTCATTCTTCCTTGAAAAACTCTTCAAAATGTTCTATCAATTGTTAGCCCGCGAAAGGCTCTGTACATATACACCCTTTTTTGCATAGAAGAAGCAAATCGAGGGGCAAATTTGTGAAGCATTTTGCTAAAATTCCTTCTTTCCTTTTGCTTTTCCAATTTCAAATGTCTATAAATTTGTCAGGATGCTGAAGAGGCAGTGTGGCTCAAAAAAATTTCTAAATGACAATGTGGTGGTGCTTTCGAATCCCTTGACACTGTATTACGACAGCACCGAAGCAATGACAAATGCTAAATAATCAAGGAGTCATCAGAGGGGTAAATACATAAAATGAAAATACTTTTAAGAGAGAGTGTTGATAGAGGAGACGTGATTGTCAATAATCTTTCTATTGGGGATAACATAGCAAACCAAATATTAAAAGCCTGTTGACTAAAGTTTTCGAGGATATCTGCACGCCGTCGATTTGCAAGAGATGACACAAATACTCCAGGGCAAGTGAGGGGTTTCTTGGATAGTATGCCCAAATAGTATACTTTTGCTATTGTAGAATAATGATTTATAATAAATAAATTCTTGTTTTATTTATTTAGTGTTGTCATATTTTATATTTAATATTGAGCATACGAATAAATGTGTCAATGATCAC